GAACAAGAGTACAAAACATTCAACGTTTCCATAAACACTAACGATTCTCGCGTCACCTTCAACGATACAACAAGTTACGTGGTAACCATACGCGATGACGATAGTAAGTACTTCTTCTGTACTAAAGCGACAAAGTAGTGTAGAAAGTAAATGRATATAAAGGGTGCCTTAGGCCCAGGGCAAATGTCGAACTAACCATGAGCTTAATTTAGTCGAACCTATTACATTTGAAATAGGTTCATGCCTAGAACGACGTTTGCTGCAATTGAGAACGACCCTAAATATATCATGCAAGTCGCATCAATTACACCAAAGCCGTGAAAACAACCACTCCCCCACCTTCCAAACACTCATCCCCCCACCCACCCCCACCCCGCTGGTGAGCATGCGCTATACAAAGATGAGTGATGAACGAGACCGAGGAGCAGTCTGGATACGAAAATAAATTCAAAACTACTCAAACTGAACATGTACGCGTTTAGATAATCCTTGCCACGAGACGAGACTCTTGAGTCTCGTAGTTTTTGTTTTGACTAAACGAAATTTGTTTGCTTGGTTTGTGAGATGCCGACCTGCAATAAATGTGGTGTATCCAAGAGCAACGARCATGAGCCGGGCTGGACGGCGGGCAAAGCGTTGCGCATTGTGAATGCTACGAGAGAGGGAAGAAAATAATGAAAAAAAGTATTTAATTGTGGTCGAGCGCTATATTTCGCCATTACAAGGATATGCCTTAATCCGGAAAAAACAAACAAATGTCCGTGCGTTCCCCCGTGCATTTTCATGTCCAATTAAAATTATAATAACAATGGGTGAGTGAATTAAGATCAACATTGGTTCGACGTTTGCCGCCACGTAGGCTCTTAGTCGACCTTCCACCGAACCTATGTTAAATAGGTTCGGTGCGACGTTAGTCCGACGTTTGCCCTGGGCCTTATAGATGGGACTGAAAAACGATTGTGCATGCGCCAATTTGCTTAAGAAAACAAAGATGGCCGCTAGACAGGTATACAAATGTTCATGTTATGATCTTAAATGTCCTTGCGATATGTAAAGTTCCTGATAACACTGCTTTCTGCATATTATTATTATTATTATTATTATTATTATTATTATTAT